AGCTGCACTCTACATAAAAATAGAGGTTGGGAATAACCACATGTGGCTATTGAGCACTCAAAATGTGGTTAGTGTGAATGAGGAACTGAATTTTAAGTTTTATTTATAATTTTATTTATTTATTTTTTCCCCCAAAGCCCCAGTAGATAGTTGTATGTCATAGCTGCACATCCTTCTAGTCGCTGTATGTGGGACCCGGCCTCAGCATGGCCAGAGAAGCAGTGTGTCAGTGCGCGCCCGGGATCCGAACCCCGGGCCGCCAGCAGTGGAGCGCGCGCACTTGACCACTAAGCCACAGGGCCGGCCCCCCCTACACTATTGACTTTAGATTGTTAAACAATTTGGCATTCCTAGGATAAACCCAACTTGGTCATGACATCATAAACTTGTTCTGTATTGCTAGATTTGATTTGCTAATATGTTGTTAAGGATTTTTCCATCTTTGTTCTTGAAGGATACTGGTCTATAATTTTCTTTTTTTGTAACAACTTTGTCAGGTTTGGGTATTAAGGTTATACTGGCATCATAAAATGAGTTGGGAAGTGCTGTCTTCTAATTTCTGAAAGTTTTTATAAGATTATTTCTTTCTTAGATGTTCAATAGAATTTACCATCTGAGCCTGGAGTTTCCTTAGTGGAAATTCAATTTCTTTAATTTGCTATGCAGATTTTGTTTCATCTATGTCAGTTTGGGTTGTGATTTTTAAGGCATCTGTCCATTTCATCTAAGTTGTCAAATTCCTTGGCATAGAGTTATTTAGAAATTCCTGGGGCCGGCCCGGTGGCATTGCGGTTAAGTTCGCACATTCCGCTTCGGCAGCCCAGGGTTTGCTGGTTTGGATCCTGGGTGTGGACCTACTCACCACGCATCGAGCCATGCTGAGGTGGCATCCCACGTAAAAGAACTAGGACCTACAACTAGGACATACAACTATGTACTGGGGCTTTGGGTAGAAAAAAGAAAAAAAAAAGAAGATTGGCAACAGATGTTAGTGCAGGGCCACACTTCCTCAAAAAAAACACAAAAATCCCTCATTATCTTTTTTTTTTTTTTAATTTATTTTTTTTCCCCCAAAGCCCCAGTAGACAGTTGCATGTCACAGCTGCACATCCCTCCAGCCGCTGCATGTGGGACGCGGCCCCAGCATGGCCGGAGAAGCGGTGCGTCAGTGCACGCCCGGATCCGAACCCGGGCTGCCAGCAGCGGAGCGCGCGCACCTAACCGCTAAGCCACGGGGGCGGCCCCCTCATTATCTTTTAATATCTATAGGATCCACAGTGATGTCCTTTTCTCATTCTTAATATTGGTAAGTTTTGTTCTTTCTTTTTTAGTTAACAATCCAGCTAGGGGCTTACCAATTTTGTTGATCTTTTCAAAGAAGCAATTTAGAGGTTTGTTATTTTCTCTATTGTCTGTTTTTTATTTTGTTGATTTCTGTTTTAACTGCAAACCATTGTTGATAAAGCAGAGCGATCTTTGTAAAAACATAATGAGACAATTTTATCCCCCTGCTGAAAACCTTCAAGGGCTTCCCATTGCATTTAGAATAAAAGACAAAATCATTACCATATTCCAGAGAGCCCTACATGATCTGGCCTTTGCCTACTTCTCCAACCCCATTTGTTGCTACTCCTTCACTCACGATGCTTCATTCATGCTGGTCTTCTGACAATTCCTATTTCAAGCCAAGCTTTTTCGTGTTTCAGGGTTTCTGTATGTGCTGTTATCTTCAGCTGGGCCATCCTTCCCCCACAACTCTTTGCATGGCTGTTTCCTTTTTATCCTCCATGTGTCAGCTTAAAGTTTAGCACATCAAAGAAACTTTTCTTTGACCATTCTAAAGTAGCTCTCTGATCCTTATACCCCGCAATTATCTCTATCATGTAATCTATTTACTTCCTTAATAAGCACTTTCCACAAACTGTAATCATTTTATTGATTAGTTTATGTTTTGACATGTTCAAATTTATTGACATTAAGAGTTTCATTTGAATAGGATACTACTGTGTTGAAGTATAGCATCATGGCTAGTAGACTAGGCTGGAGACTCAGGCTGGCTGAATTTGAATCCTAGATCCACCACTTACTGTGTGAACTTGGGCAAGTTACTTAATCTCCCTGGGCCTCGATTATCTCATCTGTAAAAAAGGACTATTAAATAGTACCTACCTTACAGTATTGTTGTAGAGATAGAGTTAAGGCATCAAAAGTGCTTAAAACAAGGCATGGATCATAGTAAGTCCTCAGGAAATATACATGACATTATTTGTCATTGATTTCTAGTGCCTAACATGGGTGTCTGGTATTCAAAGAATGGATGTGAGGAACTGTGTAAAGCGTACAGTTGCTATACAAGTGTGTCAGATATCACTGGCCCAACTCTGCAAGGCAATGTATTACTCATATAATATAGATTTTATTATTTGCCATTCATGCTGACTCAAATTAGCAACAAAACATTTCTGCGAAACAAAACAAATGACTTTATTTCTCAATTGCTCTTTCCATGGATTATTTGTGCCTCATTTCTCCCAACTAGAACATAGGGTCTCTGAAAACAGGGACTGAGCCTTCCTTCTTCCCATTAGTGAACATCACTGAGCGCCTATTACGGTGTCACACCCTGTGCTCCTTATAGGGGAAGAAGGCATGGCCCTCCTCTTGAGGGAACAAATTGGGGGGACATATATAAACAGGCAGTTACCATAACGTGTGGTACATACTCTATTAGAGAAATACCTGGTGTTAGATGCTACTGGGCATCCAAATCAGACTGTAAATACAGCTAACAGACCTCCCAAGGTAAGCCCCCCATAATGCAGATATAATACCTGGGACACGGTGGGTGCTGAATAAATGGATGTTGAGTACTCTGGGGGAGAATGGAGTAAGATATTATTATATATACGCACTAACATTTCCACCTCCATACACGCAATCGTTGAGAGCTTGGAATGGTAACTCACTTATCAATCCCTAGACCAGACCACTGTCCCATTCTATAGATCAGAGGGCTGTACCCACCGAAAGGCAGGAAAAGAGCAACAATGGAGATCAAAACAGAAATAAATAGTCAATCTTCAAATGGAAGACAACCTGGCAAGATGAACTTTGGGTTATCAATCTGAAATAAGTCAGATATAAATATAGTCATTATTTTAAATATTCTTCCATTCTGACTGCTTATGTTTAGCATTTGTGCTTTCATAACATAAAAAGTTAAAAGAGAAATAAATGTTGAAATATGAATAAAATTTATTTTTAATATCCTATGTATTCTATAGCAGACATAGAATGCAAATTTTTATTTAAAAAAATATTCGCAGTCCTCTTTTATTGATAACATAACTGAGATACTTATTTTATACATTTAAATTACCTTGAGATTTGATAACAATATTTAGCTACAGTGCAGCCCAGAAATGAAAATATACAAAACAGTTTTAGGAACACATGTATTTCAACCTGCAGGTACACTTATAAATCATACAAAGATACATATTTATTTTAAAATAAAGACTTTGAAAATGAAACCAGTTCATATAACTTTTAGCAAGGTATGACAAGAAATCTTTTATGCAAAAAAATTAAAATTGAAGCAGAAATAACACTTTTAACTTAGTTTTCTAATGTCTTAAAAATCATATCAATTCTACTAATCACTATTTCTGAGGACAGAACTATAACTCACTGCTGTCATGCTTATAATAAAACATAAAAAGTACTCTAAACACTATAAATGGGATTCTTACTTCTTAAACCATTTTAATATAAAGGATAGCAATTCAAATCATGTTTTACATTTCTACCTATGTTTAATATTGCACTAAAATTATTTTACATGGAAGAACTAGTTGATGTATCATGACATAATACCTTAGACACATTCTGTAACATTCACATCTATATTAATGGATATTCGATGGTCCACTTAAATAAATGTTCTAGTATATACCAAATCATCTAACAAAAACAAGTCTATAATGCTAATATGTTTTGAGAGCAAAGATATTCAATATTTATTACTACGGCCTTTGGGAAATACACTGACTTTTGAAAACATGTTTAAATCACTCATAGTACCTGGTAATAACATTTGAGCAATATCTGAACATTCTGCATTTATTGTAGGGTCTCTATAGGGCTACTTTTTAAATACAACATTTATTTTATTAAAAAATGAAGAGAAAAAGTGTTTGTCCTTTTATCCAGTGGAGCAGAATTATGAGAAAAGAGATAATAAAAATACTACTTCACTGCTGGCATCTAAGCTATGTTTTATATAACGTAAAAATTCAATTCTCATCATTCTGCTACACTATAACCAAGCCTGTTTATAATAATTATCATAACCAATGTTAGAGTCTTTGAAAATCATGATTACAAGTAAAAGCTTGGAACAGCAAGATAAAGCTAATGGCAACCTCTTGAATTCCATTTTAAGTTAGTTCTACTTCCAAATAACATATTTAAATGGTTTCAAGTAACCTAACTGATTAGCCAGCATCAGCTTAGGAATTTTTTTTCAATGTTTTAAGGTATAACTTTTGGCATCAAAAAGTATAGTAAGCACTTTTGATTCGTGATGAATAAAAAAATTAAGTACTAAAATACCAGTGGTTCCTGTGACAGGGTAAATATCCCCCTTCAAGTAAAGTCCTCCACAAAATTAAAGTAACATTTTATTTCTCCCTCTGAGAGTTTCTTAAGGAAAAGAAATCACAATTTTTTTTTAGTTGAGGTGAAAAAACTGCTTCATAAGCTCATACGTTGTAAAAGCCACTGCTTGAGAGGGAACGCAGCGAATGTAATTAAGAGATAAACCACGATATAATCCTTTTCGAATCCCATGGTGTCCATAGACATACTTCATAGTCTCCCGCATGGTACTGAAAGACAATGGTTAAATGATGACCCTTTATGCCCATACTTGAAGAGACAATTTCAGGATCCATAATACCATTTTTGAAAGAAACTAAAATGCCATCTTGAATAGCTTTTGAAAGGCAAGTATTAAAACAAGCTAAAAATTCACAATAAAAGAGCAATTCATTCCAAACAAGTAGAAGCACTATGCACAGAACTGTGGGGCTCATTAATACAATATATTTTGTTTGTACTATGCCTGTGACATTTATTGGCAACACTATTTCATAATAACATTTGAAATATTGACGTAGTCTTTTTATTTATTTATTTTATTTTTTATTTATTTTTTTTTTAAAGATTTTATTTATTTTACTTTTTCCCCCCAAAGCCCCAGTAGATAGTTGTATGTCATAGCTGCACATCCTTCTAGTTGCTGTATGCGGGACTCGGCCTCAGGATGGACGGAGAAGTGGTGCCTCGATGCACACCCGGGATCCGAACCCGGGCCACCAGCATTGCAGCGCGCGCACTTAACCACCAAGCCACAGGGCCGGCCCTGACGTAGTCTTTTTAAAGGATGTATGAGTAGTTGCTCTTTCAGTTTTCATTTCAGCTCGAGTTCTATATTATACATAACTAGTAAATTGTTATAGAACTAAAGCTTGAAGGACTATCTTTCAGATTTCAGTAATAAAGACTTTCTTATTTCAAACAGTGTTCTTTCCTTTCTAACCAGTATTTTGGGCTTTGCTTTCCCCTTTCATTAGGCAATCTGGACTGAAATCTTCAAAAAATCTTTTGGGTGAACAAAGGCAATTCAAAGTCCTGAACAAATGTTCTGCTCTTCCCCTGAGGAACAACACATCACCAATCAAACAGAATGATTCTAAGTCTCTATAGATTGTAGAAAACTCTAGAGCTGTCCTATGCAATAATGGTAGCCACTAGCCACATGTGGCTACTGGGCACTTGAAATGTGGCAAGTCCAAATAGAGATGTACTGTAAGTGTAAGATATACCCTGGATTTCAAACGCTTAGTATAAAAAAAGGGATGCAAAATATTCAAATGTTTGAAGTGATAATATTTTAGCTATATTAGGTTAAACAAAAATATTTTAAAATAATTTCATCTGTTTCTTTTTACACTTTTTTTTTAATGTGGCTACCATAAAATTTTAAATTACATATGTGGCTCACATTATATTTATATTTAACAAAGCTGTTCTAAAGTGAAATTTTTAATAGGAAGATTGAGACCTGATTAAAATCTTATAAAGTTACCAAAGTATACTATAGGAGACAAAATGGAAGATCCAGACTACTGGTAAGACCACAGTCCTATCTCCCTACTTACTTTAAATATTATATTACCTAAAGAAAATGAACAATGACAAATGGAGAACTTACAGGCACTTTTCAAATTCTGGAAGAACAGTTCCTAATTGCATTCGCCGACGAGTTACATCAAATGGGTAGCTAAATGATGAAAAAGACAGAAGGCCTTAAAAATGATTTTTAGTTTTCTACTCAACAATTATTGAATACAAAGCATTATATGTGCTAGGAAATAATGTGTTCCTATTCTCTTATTGTTTTGTCTAATCTGGGAGTCAAGATATAGACACATGAATAATATCAAATAACAATACAGAGATCTCCTTGTCTTTGCTCATGTGGTTCCCTCAAATTAAATGATTCTTCTTTCCCATCACCCAGATATCAAGTTCTACTCATTCCTCAAGGCCAAATTAAATGCAACTTCCTAAAGAAATAAATTGGATGCCTTTCATTGTTGTAACCTTAAGACAGGGTTTCTCAACTTTGGCACTATTGACATTTGGGGTTGGATAATTCTTAGTTGTGGGGGGCTGTCCTGTGCATTGTAGGATGTTTAGGTGCATCCCTGGCCTTTACCCACTAGATACCACAGTAGCATACCCCCAGTTGTGATAACCAGAAGTGTCTCCAGATATTAATAAATGCCCACTGGAGGCAAAATCACCCCAGTGGAGAAGCACTACCCTAAGAGTATTCAGCAAGTCTCCCTGCATATAGTAGACCAACCAAAAATTTTCCTTAAGGGCTAAAATTAACAATACAGAAAACTGCATTTAGAGGACAGAGAACATTCTATGTAAAAAGATTGCCTGATTCTGTAACTATGTATGGCAATGGATGTTAGCTAGACTTAATGTGGTAATCATTTTGCAATATATACAAATATTGAATCATTATGTTGTACACCAGAAACCAGAAAGATAATGTTGTATGTCAATTATACCTCAATAAAACTTTTTTAAAAGAAAAAAAAAAAAAAAAGATTGCCTGAAATGAAATATACAAAAGTAATCTCTTTTAGGAGTAGGACCCCAGGGGATTTCTTTAAAAATTAATTTTATTTGCTAATATTGACTTCTTATGTCCTGTACTAAATAATTTATATATATTATCTCATTCCATCTTCAAAAAAATTGCAAAGTAGTTACTGTTATCCCAACATTTTTTTGTGTGTGTGTGTGAGGAAGATCAGCCCTGAGCTACTAACATCCACGCCAATCCTCTTCTTTTTGCTGAGGAAGACTGGCCCTGAGCTAACATCCATGCCGATCTTCCTCCACTTTATGTGGGATGCCACCAGAGCATGGCCTGACAAGCGGTGCCTCGGTGCGCGGCCAGGATCCGAACCCGGGCCACCAGCAGCAGAGCGTGCGCACTCAACCGCTATGCCACAGGGCCGGCCCCCTGTTATCCCAACATTAAGATAAGAAAATTGAGTCTTAGAGACATTCTCCAGTGTCACAAAGCTGCTTTCTACTTTGCTATTCACAGCATTCCATGGTACCTAATATATCCATAAGTGATATATGACAAAAATAATTATACACTTTTATATACATTTAAATTTACTATGAAATAGTTATAATAAAAAAAATACCCATATACCAACCAAACAGCTTACAAAATATACATTACCAATAGATGAAGCCCCCTATGCATCTCAATAGCATCTCCAGGAATTTTTTTTTCTTTGGTGAGGAAGATTGGCCCTGAGCTAACATCCATGCCCATCTTCCTCTATTTTGTATGCCGGATGCTGCCACAGCATGGCTTGATGAGCGGTGTGCCGGTCCAGGCCTAGGATTTGAACCCACGAACCCTGGGCCCCAAAGCAGAGCACATGAACCCAACCACTATGCCTCTAGGCCAGCCCCAGGAATTATTTTTTAATGAGGAGTAGGGAGAGGAAAAAATTTTATGGGGATAAAGGGACCAAAACCTCAACTTGAAGGATTCAGTTTCCAAGCAGGAAAAGATGTGAGTAGAAGGAATTGATTAATAGAGAGAATGTAGGAAGACAAGGTAGAAGGATTAGAACTAGGGAAATAACAATGGAAAAGAAAGAAAATAGCATTCTAGGCAAAGTTCTCAAGTAAAAAATGACAAGACTTAGTGATTATTTGGATATGTACAATGTGAAAAATGATTTCAAAGTATTATCAAGACTAGAAGTTAATGGTTATCAATAACAAATAGGAAAGTTGGCAACTGAGGATTGTCACGAAGAGGAAGACAAGCAAGTAAGATATAAATTATGGAGTTTGCACTGGTGGCAGAAGTCCAAGTAGAAACATCCAAGAGCTTGCTAGAGAAGTAATGGAGAGTCAGTAATGGAGATTTAAATAGAATTGGTTATCCGTACAGAGGTGACCATTGAAACCATAAAGATAGATGAGCTCTTCTAGATATTTATGGGAAGAGCAGAGGAATAAAGTCTGGCTGGGCCTTAAAAAATCAGCACAGATAGGTAGGAAGAGGAGGACATGAGTCAGCAAGATACCTGAAAAGGGAAGGTTGGGGAGGATGATCGCCAAGAAAGGGCACTATTACAAAAACCAAGGAACTAGAACAACTCTAAGGAGAGTAAAAGAACCGAGAAGGAGCCACTGGATCTGTTAAGAGTCAATGGGTGTAGAAAATAGCTTAAGAAGAGAAGCGGGAAAGAGAAGACAGATTCTAAGGATCTAAGTTGGAAATGAGTAATAAAGAAAAGGGGCAGTAAAACCAAAAAGAGAATCAGAATAGATAGAGGTGATCATGTCTCTGCAAACGAACAAGTTTCCACAGCCAGGTTTCCAAAAGTAAACCACACAACTTTTCTTCTTTACCTTCAATCTAGTATGATCTGCTCCCACACGCAAGTACACTGAATCTGCTTTCACAAAGGTAATCCTTAACTGTAAAATCCAGTGAACACCTCACTTTTCAGTACTTATTATTTTTAGTACTTATCTTACTTTGACTTTTCTTTTTCCATTTGATACTCTTTTTTGAGTCTTCGTGACACTACTCCTCCCTGTTATCTTCCTGTTTTTCAGGATACTCCTCAGTCACAAAAAGCTTTTCTTCTTCCTGTTCCTGAAAAGTTCCTGCTTCTTAGCATTCCAGCTTCTTTTTCTTTTTTTTTTGAGAGGAAGATCAGCCCTGAGCTAACATCCATGCCAATCCTCCTCTTTTCGCTGAGGAAGACTGGCCCTGAGCTAACATCCGAGCCCACCTTTCTCCACTTTACGTGGGCCGCCACCACAGCACGGCCTGACAAGTGGTGTCTCACGGCACGCCTGGGACCCGAACCCAGGCTGCCAGCAGTGGAGCATGCACACTTAACCGCTATGCCACGGGACCAGCCCCATACTCCAGCTTCTTTTTATCTCATCTACTCAATGTCCCTTGGCCTAGGGAAATTCTTTTTTTTTTTTTATTTTGGTGAGGAAGACTGGCTCTGAGCTAACATCCACTGCCAATCCTCCTCCTTTTGCTGAAGAAGATTAGCTCTGAGCGAACATCCGTGCCCATCCTCCTCTACTTTGTATATGAGACCCTGCCACAGCATGGTTTGATGAGCAGTATGCCAGTCAGCGCCTGGGATCCGAACCTGCAAACCCCAGGCTGCCGAAGTGGAGCGTGCTATGCCACCGGGCTGGCCCCTCTAGGGAAATTCTTTGAAGCCATGTTTCCAATTACAATATAGTAATACCTTTATCTACGTTCCGACTACAACTTATATTAATATATAACTCCATTGTATTGCTAACTGTCTTAATAAGAATATAGGCTTCTTGAGGCAATAAATTTGCTTTTCCTTCAGTGAACCTCCCAACACTGTCTGGCACAAAGTAGGCCTCCAAGATTTAAAGCAAGAGAAGTTGTGCCTACACACACACACACACACACACACACACACACACACGATAAATGGCTCCAATTTCAGAAACTTCATGCAGGCAAACTGATGAGAAAATACAAAGACTATACTTAGTGTTCCTTTCTAGCTTTCTTTTTTTTTTTTTTTTTCTAGCTTTCTTTTTTTCTTTCTTTTAAATGAATCCACAGGAAATTGGGTGGGTTGAAACTAATTTGGTCAATTTGGTATGTAATTATTTATAATATGCTTAAAGTGCAGGCACATCTGAAAAAATGTATTAAATTAATTCTTATATTTTGCAAAGGATCCTGTGTTTTAATAATCTATTAGAAAAAATAAAATGATCAACCAACGCTGAAAATTGGGATTGGGTAAATGTAATTTGATTGAATTAAGTTGATGAAGAAACTTACGATATTGTCTGTGCTATTGCTCCAGCAACACCACCACAAAGTAAGTTTATGTGAGTTTTCAAAACTAAGACATTAGGATTGTCTGATGAAGGTCTGCCAAGAAGGGTAGGAGCATAGGAAAGCCCAACACTCTTTAAGGTACCAAAAGTAAAAAATGAAACACCTGAAAAACAAAATATAAATTCACCACGATGCTTAACAGAACATGAGCTGTGAAAAGACACCATTCTTACATAATAACCAATTAACTCAAGGAACTGACTATGCATTTCCTAATTTCTGATGTTTGCTTAATCTAAGATAAAAAGATTTAATTAATGTTTATAAATGACCTAAAGATGACAAAATTACCACCTATAAAAACTATAGCACTGATTTTCACACACTAATATATAGATCAGTTCACTGAATAAAGGCAGTAGTTGAGCATAATACCACCTTATATACGAATAGAATTAAACAATTTTCCAAGGTTTCACGTGAGTAAAAATTAAATTCATGGTTAATAATTATAAGTAAATATGACAACTTATATTTACAATAACAATGATGGTGTTAATGTAAGATAAAGGCAAAAAATTCAGAAGTGACAAAACATTGTTATTTCAAATCAGTGTCTAGTTTTTCTTCAAGGAAGAGTTATGACCATGAGAAAAATTTCATATTGGCTCACAAGACACATGGAATCTAATAAATACTAAATTAAGTTATTGATAATATGCAGTTGGTGCTTGCTGAACATTTACATGATTTTATAATAGACTCATTAAAGTCATACACTAATCAAATCAAGAATAGAATTCAAGCATTCCTATCAACTAAGCATTACTCAATATATCTTGATATCTACTAAATTTTAAAAACATATTTAAAAAGATACTTGATGCCTAAGAGCAAATAAGCACTAACAAAAATTCAGTCTAGGATAACATCTTGATGTAAGCATTTATTCTTTATACAAAATTCTTATAAGAATTTACTATAAGATTATAATCTTATAGTATTTTGTAGTATAATATATACTATAGTATAATCTTATAGTATTTTGTAGTATAATATATACTATAGTATAATCTTATAGTATTTTGAAATGATGATGTACAATTTTAGACTATTCATACACTTTTATATTTTGGAAATCTATTCCAAAGACCTAATCTTAAATACAGAAAAAGCTCATGACAAGAAAATTCATAGCAAATTACACATAAGTAGAAACAAAAATTAGAAATACCTACATGATGTGGAATGGTATTCAGTGAAATATGACACAATTACTAAAAATGATGTTTGTGAAGAGTATTCAAAAATATGAAAAATATTTGGGAAATGGGGAAAAATTAAGAAAAAATTATACATACACTATAACTATGTAAAAATATATTTTTAAAATTCAGAACAAAAACATTAGAAAGAGATGAAAATATAGCAAAAAATTAAAGAGTTCTGCTTCCACTATAACGGCAATCTACAGGGACTTCGCCACTGCAGAACAACTATATCCATTGCTGGGCTTGCAAAAAGATGAGAAGGTCTCCAAGAATCCCCAGCACTACCATCTCCCAAAAATATAAGCTGGAGCCCACTTGGGAGTTTGGGCCCATGAGAGAGGTGGACTGACTCTACATATTGATGCCAATAGCAGCAGAACCATTGAGATGGATCCAGCCATTGGGCCTACAGAAAATGGAATCACTGGGTCTGAAACTCAGAGACTAAGATCAAGTAATAAGCTCAAAATTAAAGACCACCAAGCAAAGGAGGAGGCAAATAAATTTATATATTTATAAAAGAGTGGGGGGAGTAAGGATTCAGAATACACAAACAAGAAAAGAAAGGAATAAAAAGAAACATAAAAAAAGCAACAAGTGGAAATCAAATAGCAAGGTATAGAAACAAGTCTGACTATATCAATAATCACAATAACCATTAAGTGGACTAACTGGCAATTAAAAGATTTTACAGACTGGATTAAAAAAAAATCTAGCTATATGATGATTACAAAAGAAATACTTAAAACATAAAGACATGAAAAAGTAGAAAATAAAAGGATGAAAAAAGATATACTAGGCAAATATTAACTGGGATCTGGCCAAAAAATAATTATGAATGGGAAGGAATTTGAACAATGACAATATACTAGATGATATTAAGAAAGTTTCATAATGGTATGCAGTTATGCTTTAAAAAATAAGCATAGGGAGCTGAATATTGAAATACTGTAGATGAAATGAAGTGGATTTGCTTTAAAACAATTTGGGATGAGGGTGGAGGGAGTAATTAGGGGTATAGATGAAACAAGATTGGTCATGAGTTGATCACTGTTGAAGCTAGGTGATAGATACATGGTGGTTCATTATACTATTGTCTACTTTTGGATATGATTGAAAATTTCCAAGTTTTAAGGAAAAACAAATAAATAAAATAACAAACTCATGGGATGCAGTTAAAGAAGTATTTAGGGAAAAAAAGCTTACATTAGGGAAGAAAACCCTAAAGGTTAAAAATTAATGAGGTAAGCAACCAACTGAAGAATAAACCCAGAGAAGGAAAGAGATAATTAAGACACAAACAAAGATCAATGAAATGGGAAATAAAGGTAGATTAGAGAAGAGAAAGAAAGGCAAAATTGATTCTTTGCAAAATCTGAAACTGATAAAACAAATAAAAACGAAAAAGGGAATATGACTATAGATAGAGCAGATGTAAAAAAAAATATGAAGAAATAAGGAAAACTTTCTGCCAAAAAAATTTAAAACTAACACAAAACAGTCAAGTTCAAAATGGTAAAGAAAGGTATGAATCACCAAAAATGACTCAAGAGATAGAAAACCTAAATGGTCCTACAACCATTCAAGAAATTAAACCAGTATTTAAAATTCATCCCACAATGAAAACCTTCAAGAAACAAATTATTCTAATCATTTTATACATATTCTTCCCGAGTATGGAAAATGAGGAAATACTCTTCAACTCATTCTGAGACCTATATAACCTTAATACCCAAACCACACAAGGATATTAAAAGAAAAGAAAATTACAAGCTAATCTCACATGAATATAGATGTAAAACTTCTAAAAACAATTAGCAAATTGAATCCAACAGGATATAAAAAGATCATTATATCATAACCAATCTGGGTTGACATTAGAACACTTATTAATGTCATTCATTAAATTAACAGATTAAAGGAGAAAACTATGTGATCACTTCAGTAAATGCAGGAAAGGGTGTTGATAAAATTCAACACCAATTCAGAAAAAAATTCTTACCAACTCTTCCTCAACCTGATAAATGATGTATACTACAGAAAACATTATGCTAAATGAAGAAGTATTAGAAACATTCCCTTTAAAATCAGTAACGAGCCAAAATGTCCAGTTATCATCATTTCTATTCACTGCTGCACTGTAAGTCCTTAGCTAGTACAGTAAGATAAGATAAATACAAATAAAAAAGAAATAAGGATTAGAATGTAAGTAAGAAAAATGATATTATTTGCACAGGATGTGATTGCCCACACAGAAAATCCAAAGCATCTACAAGTAACATGGTGACTGACTATAAAATCAACAAGTAGGATAACGGTTAGCTGTAAGATCATATAAAAATTAAATCAAGCAATAAACTGAAAATGTAATTTTCTAAAAGACACAACAAAGCTTATAAGGTGTCTATGAATATATCTAACAAAAATGTCCAAGAACTGTACGGAATTTCATTCGAAATCCCAAAAAGGATTCTTGTACAACATCAAAAACTGATTCTAAAATATACACAGGATAGCAAAATATCTATAGTCCTTACACTCCTGAAAAAAGAGGTATAAAGTCAAGGGACTTGTCCTATCAAATATAAAGACTTACTATAAAACTACACTCGATTATTGTTTTAAGTAGCACTGCAGATCACTGGGGAAAGGAAGGACTGTCTAATAAACGGCACTGGGTCAAATGGTTATCTGTAAGGAGGAAAAAAAGTAATTCCAGGTGGATCAGGGGCTTAAACATAAAATGCGAAATTTTAAAAATCATTGTTAGAAGAAAATAAAAAACCAAGATTCTGCCAAATCTGAAACATACCTGCATATGGAGCCATTCCTAATATAGTAGGCATCAGGCCTCTGTAAAATCCAAGGAAACCGCCTTCCTTTTGAGTGAAGAAAAATTAGAAGTGAGATTACATTGTGTTCATTATGATAAATATCAAAGAACAGAAGCATACATTATAATGGAAAACTTATTCTGGGACCCACCCTGAAACACAGATGTTTTCATTATTATTATTATTAACATCAATAATTTAAATAAAAGAATAATTATTTAGATAGTATTCAAAATATTTTCCTAAATATAAAAGGACATGTTATAGATGAGAAAAGTAAATATGAAATACCTTTGCATAAATTGTTTTGAATGCATGAATAATTCCTGTATAAGTGTGTTCCCCTTTCACCTGGAATGCTAGGCGTACTCTAACCATGTCAAGAGGGTAAGTACAGATAACTGCTGTCATACCTGAGAGAAAGGAGAAATTTAAATGTACAAGAAATTTTTTGACATATACATATCTTTCCGATCATTAGTAGTGCTCTCAAATTATAGCAATGATGAAAACCCAATGAAATCAAAGGTGACATTACTGATAGAATTATATCATAATATCAGCTGAAAAACAACCTTGTTAGTAAAGTGTCAGTTTATAAAATCTTTTCAAGTTCTTCCCATTGTTAAGTTTTATTGTTAGCACCAAAATAGTACAGTGTAAGTGGATCATGAGTATTTTTTTTTATTCTATTACTTGCCTTTTCCCAGGTAAAATATCAGAAAGGAAAAACTGACTATCTCCATAGCACTAGGCAAGATATCTGACTTTTTACTTATTTTCTCTAATCCTAAAATGGAGAGATGCTTTATCTACCTAAGGAATTCTTATAAAAATAAACGTATTTTTTTAAAAAAAACTTCAAAGCACAATCATTATTTTCTTTTCAGAATTAAGGTGAATTTGTTATTGACTAAACATAATAAAAGTACGAATGTTCAAGGTCATAGAAACAATTCGTTTTAGGGATAAAATCTCCTGAGAAGTAAATTTAGAATTAAGTTCTAGATTTTCCACCAATATATGATTTCAAATTTCACAAACTATCCAGCTAAGTTATTTTTTAAATTAAAAAATTTTGGGCCGGCCCCGTGGCTTAGCGGTTAAGTGCACGTGCTCCGCTGCTGGCAGCCCGGGTTCGGATCCCGGGTGCGCACTGACGCACTGCTTCTCTGGCCATGCTGAGGCGGCGTCTCACATACAGCAACTAGAAGGATGTGCAGCTATGACATACAACTATCTACTGGGGCTTTGGGGGAAAAATAAATTAATTAATTAAATTAAAAAATTTCTATTTTTGTAAAGTACCAAGAAAATGTTTGTTCAGTGTAGAAAGATTAGAAAACATAGACAATCAAAAAAATTAAACATACATATATTCATTCTCCAGTAATAACCACTTAAATATATATTCCAAACCCTTTATACATGTGCATTTACACACACGTAAACACACACACATTTAAAACTTATGATAACATAATTCTATTTTGTAGTTAATTTTTTCTACTTTACATTACATTGTGAATATCTTTCCATGTGAGAAAACCACTACCTGGATGTACTGTAATTTATTAAAACAATCTTCTTAGACATCTAGGTTATCTCCATTATTTGTTCTATGATATGGTAATGGCAAACAATGCTTTGGTGAATGTCTTTAGAACTAAATATTTTTGTTTATCATTTCCATTATGGATAAATTCCAAAAACAGAATTATTAGGTCAAAGGGTAAAGCTTTTAGGGGCCGGCATAGTGGTGTAGTGGTTAAGTTTGCACACTCTGCTTCAGTGGCCCAGGGTTCACAGGTTCGCATCTCAGGTGCAGACATACACACCACTTATCAAGCCATGCTGTGGCAGGCGTCGCACATATAAAGTAAAGGAAGATGGTGGGCATGATGTTAGCCGAGGGCCAATCTTCCTCAGCAAAAAAAAACATAGGGTAAAGCTTTTAATAAAAATTGCTCTCCAGAGGACTGTGCCCATTTATAATGTCATCCATTAGAATAAAAGTCCTATTTTTCTGACTTCTCAGGAGTATTAGATAATTATTAGACAATTAGAATATTCAATTATTAGGTAATTTTCCCAACATTTGATCATTTGATGGGCAAAAAGCAATCTCTCTGTTATTTTGGCTTGCTTCTCATCTGACTTTTTCTTTTTTCTTTTTTTTGGCAGTAATGTAACTTCAGCAGTCAGTTCTCATCCACATTGTGTAGACTTTTGAAAGTAGTGACAGAATTTTGAAAGTGGTTACCTATTTGGTACATAGGTCATCAATATACAGAGTTTGGTGAATCTTCATCCTCATTATGTTTTCTGGACAACAGCACACAGACAGGGTATAAGACATTCCTTATTCCTGCGGCCCAGACAGCTTTGCTGAGCCTGGAATTAAGGCGCACACCTGGGGGCCGGCCCAGTGGCGCAAGTGGTTAAGTACGCACGCTCCACTGTGGCGGCCCGGGGTTTGCCGGGTCGGATCCCAGGCATGTACCGACGCACTGCTTGGCAAGCCATGCCGTAGCAGCGTCCCATATAAACTGGAGGAAGATGGGCACGGATGTTAGCCCAGGGCCAGTCTTCCTCAGCAGAAAAAGAGGAGGATTGGCAGATGTTAGCACAGGGCTGATCTCCTCACAAAAATAAATAAATAAATAAATAGAATAAAATAAAAAAAGGCGCACACCTGGAGCTCCCATCTCCATGGCAGATTTCCGATCTCTGAGTACCTGAGGGGCACGCTTCTTGAAGCCCACTCCATGAACGCGCTTGTGAATGTTAATCGTCTATTCTCCGGTCACTACGTCGTGGTTGGCAGAACAGCTCTTTTTTTGCCACTCTTCTGTACAGGAGCCATTCTGCTGGGCCCAGGTTGTAAATGAAGAGCTTGAGGTATTGTCATGACTTTCTTTTCCTAAGTAGGCTTTTAATCCTATATTTTTAGCAGGATAATTTCATCTTTTTTTTTTAATTTCATCTTTTTATTAGTCTTACCAAATAAAAATATAATTTTTTGCCATAACTTTTACTCAGAATAGCAAACGAGTCATATAAAAGTGGCAAAGTGATTTCCATATTCTTGACCTAATTTAACTTTTAGTTTTAAATTTTTTTAGTGTTTGCTTAATTTTATTTAATAGACCTGATATATCTTACTCCATTTACTTAGCAAATGCTACTGTAATTTTGCATCCATTTTTATCAGCCCAGACCTAAACCTACACTAACTTTCAGAGCTTCTGCTGCTCCCCGCCAAAATCTAAATCAGTTTGCCATTCCTCATACATTAATTGGAAAAGAATGTTCTTTATACTACTGTCTAGGTATCTTTCACCGGCATCTCTAACTAGGTGATTATAACAGCATCTCTGAGCTAAAAACCTACACAGCTAATATACGGGTAATACTTTAATGCAAAAACATGCAACCCTTAGTTCTCTCTTGAGAATGACAGACTCTCAATTCCTTTAGACAGTGAGTGGAAAGTCAGTTTGAATAACACGTTAAGTAATGCAATTTAATTTTAAATACAAGCAATACTTTGGATCAAGATTAGCCTAATGGTGGTCAGAACAGGTTAGATTCATGGAAGGCTGATTTATGATTGGCTTACCTGTGGTTTAACTGTAAGTGACATTTTATTTATTTATTTATTTTTATTTTTTAAATTACTAATTTTACTGCTTCACTTGAACAGAGACATTCTTTTTTTGTGTGTGTGTGAGGAAGATCAGCCCTGAGCTAACATCCATGCTAATCCTCCTCTTTTTGCTGAGGAAGACTGGCTCTGAGCTAACATCTATTGCCAATCCTCCTCCTTTTTTTTCCCCCAAAGCCCCAGTAGATAGCTGTATGTCATAGCTGCACATTCTTCTAGTTGCTGCATGTGGGACGCGGCCTCAGCATGGCTGAAGAAGCGGTGCCTCGGTGCACGCCCGGGATCTGAACCCGGGCCGCCAGCAGCAGAGCACGCGCGCTTAACCGCTAAGCCACGGGACCGGCCCTGTTTAGTACTTTCTAAACTTAAATTTTTAGTTCAGAAATTCCATCAGTCCAGTGATTGGAAGTGTCAATTCCCCATTTCAGCCAATTTGATTGTGAGCTGTACATCTGAGCTGTTTCCATTCTATTCATTTTCAGACTATTTAATGTATTTGTTTTCTACCTACTGATATTCAAACCAGCCATGTCTGGCAGTCAAGGTAGTGACTTTTCTAAATGGCCTCTTTTAAGCTGAATCTAAACTAATATAGTACAAATGTGGTATTCCTGAAACAAGGTTTGGCAATAACATTACATTTAAACCACAGCAGATATCTTATTATCCAGATATTTATAAAACTACATATTTTATAGGTTGGCTTAATGTTTTGCAGCTTGTGCTGAAGATTTTGCAAGGGAAAATTTTAGAAAATACAATTAGGAGAGATTATCCATAAACAAGTTGCATCCTTATTGGAATGATTCTTATTAAAAAGTTTAACAAACATAGAAGAGAATCAAAAGGCTGACCATTTTAAGGCTTGATCATACCGACACAATTTGGTTTAACATCAGATTTTGCTAGGATTTTCCCAAGTCATCACTATCCACCTTACTTTTACAACTTCTGTAAATTTTTACAACTCCTTTTTTTTTTCTATTCCCTAATCTGAATCTCTTTGGTCTTGCCTCTCTCATTTGCTCTCTCTGATTCCATTTATTTCTTCTTTCCTTCTCACATGCTCCAATCCTTCTCATTGTCTTCTTACTGGCTTCAAGTGGCTTAATATGAAATAACTGTGAATTAACAAAGTGGTCAAAATGATAAATTGGCAGAAAATGAGTACCTCCAGAAATCTGTAAAGGTAAAAGAGGCATTAGCTTAAAAATTGCAAGACCATGAGTCAGGCTGAGGAATTGACATAATCTAATTGTACATCAGAGAATAGTAAAAATAATGCCAATGAATACTGGAATGCTAAACTCATGATCTAGTTTTGTAACTTTTCAGCCAGTTTATTTCAGCATATTTTTATGTGGTATATTTCTTTTAAATTTGAGCAATCAATCAAATCTTCCTAAAGAGAAACAAAACCTTTTAATAAGGATGTAAAAATTACCAAGTTATTGTTTTTTGGTTGTTATTCAATATTCCTAAAAGCAACTTAATGATTTAAATGTAATTTTAAAGCTTGGAATGTAAGGAGAGGATTCTTAATAATTTTGCCCTCTGATAAATCTTGAAAACTACTTAATGATTTTAAATGTTTATTTATCTTCGGAATGAGGGGGAAGTAAGAAATATTTTTTTTTTTTTTAAAGATTTTATTTATTTATTTATTCTCCCCCCAAAGCCCCAGTAGATAGTTGTATGTCACAGCTGCACATCCTTCTAGTTGCTGTATGTGGGACGCGGCCTCAG